TTCTCATGATTTTGGATATTTAAAGTCAGATGGTTTTCAGAAAGAGCTGAACCAGTTTACACGGCCCCTGAAATGCTTGGAACTGCCACATTCTCACCAGCATTTTAAATGTATTTTTAATATATTACCGTGGTTTTTTTTAAAATGAAATAAGCATTTGGAATATAATCCAAATGATAGAGAAAATTTAAAGAGCAAAGAAAAGTATTACTAGCACTCTACCACTGTTAAATTTTTGATGAAGAACCTTCTAAACATCTTTCATTCATTTCTTCAACCAAGAGTTACCGTATGGTTACCAGGTACCAGACACTGACTAAGCACTAGGGACACAGGAGCCAGAACAGAAAGCCCTGACTGCCTGGCCTTTACATTCTAGAGATATAGGGCTTATTAAAACTCTCCTAGGTACATTAACAGCATTGTTCTATACTTGACCTTGTGAACTGTTTTTGTTCACCCCACCTCATATTGTGGAGATCTTTCAATGCCAATAATTACAGACTGACGTCATCACGTCTAATGACTATACAGCATTCCATTATATTTATATATCAACTTTTCCCCCTTGAATCCTTAAGCCACATGGATTTAGATCATTTTCACTTGTTCACACCTATAAATAACTGTGGCATTGACCATCTGTGTGCATAGATACTTTCACACTTGTGTACTTTTTCTTTTTTTGAACATTGTATTGCTGTTTAGGTGAAAGTCTGTACACTTATATCTTAAACTAAATCCCTACAGGAGTAATTACTAAATAAAAGGGTACGAACATTTTACATTTTGATATAATAGATAAATTTTACACAAATTACTTTTCCATACATGATCTAGTAAGTTACATTCCCGCCAATACTGCACGACACCTTTATCATTTTAAACTTTGCTTAAAATGTTTGCTACATTGTTGCTTTTCATTTACATTTCTGTTATTTTTAAATGTGCCGTTGAATTTCCTTTCAAATGCCTTCTGTTTATAGCTCCTCGTTAATGACATGCCTGTTCTGCTTTGTCAGTTCCTCTGCGGAATTTTTCCTTGTCGGTTTACACAAACTTTTCATGTCTTAAGGATGCTGTTGGTCAAGCGTTGCACATTTTTCTCTAGTTTGTTTTTCTACATTTTTATGATTTTTTTCAACATATGAGTTTACAATGTTTATAGAGTTAAATTTATCAACCTTTTTCTCTATGGTCTCTGGTCTTATTGACAAGTCTTAGCAAGAACTCTTCAACTCCACAGTTTTAAAAATATTCACCCATGTTTTCCTCTGGTACATTTATGGCTAAAAGGAATCCTGGTAGCGCAGTGGTTACATGCTCGGCTGCTCACCAAAAGGTCAGTGGTTCGAACCCACCAGCCGCTTCATGGGAGAAGGCTGGGCAGTCTGCTTCCATAGAGATTTACGGCCTTGGAAACCCTTTGGCACAGTTGTACTCTGTACTATAGGGTCACTATGAGTTAGAACTGACTCCACGGCAACAGGCTTTTTGTTTTGGTATATATTTATGGCTTCATTACTTTTTCTTTTTTCCTCCAATATTTAAATCTTAGATACATCTGGAATGTAGATCTAAGGAATGAGGCAGAGTATACAATATTTAAAGTATTTTTGTAATTTAATATGCAAAAAAAAACCCAAAACCAAAAACCTATGACCATATTTTCCCAGCTCAGAATGCATTACTTAAGATTTGACAACAGAGAAGATTTGTGATTAGCTCTATGTTAATTAAATAAACTTGTTCCAAAACACCTGCCCTCCTGCTTACGGGACTCTTGGAGTGACAGCTCTTATCCCATGACCCAAAGGTGACCGCGCCAAGAGCAGCCAAGGAAAGCATGTTCATGGGCAGGTCAGCAATTCCTGGCTCCTGTGACTTGCCTTAACCAGATGACCTGGTTGGGCAAATTATGTTTTTCTTCTGGAGGCTGTGAACCAGGAAACACGAGGCTGGTGTAGAGTCAGGCTTAGTCCAGGAAACACCATATCTGAGTAAGAGTTCCAGAAAGAGAGAAACACAGGAAGCTGAGAAGAGACGCATTCCAGAACTGACGTGATATTTGAATTTAAGAGAACTGACTGAATATTCAGCAATATGGATTTAAAAAAACAAAGTGCATCGTTGTGAAAATTCAGAAGAATGGGCACAAAGAGGAAATTTCAAAGGTTTGGAGAAGAAGAAAAAAACACACTAAGGAAGGATCAAGAATCAAAATGTGACATTGTGACAGGAAGACAATGGGACAAGGCCTTCGAAATATCGGGGTGAAATGCTTTTCAACCTAGAACTCTATCCTCAGCCTTTGTTCTTAACTGAACAAAAGCATAAAACCAGCAACATCTCAGAAAATTTACTCCCCATGCACCCATTCTCAGGAGGA